AAACCTGCATGATGTCTGCATTACATTACAGAAAAAATATACCCAATTGTAAGTCAGTATAAGATCTGAAAGAAAAGTGGACTTCCGGTGGTCAAAGCGGTGGAGATGGCGGCTACTTTGTAGCCGTCCTCCTGAGAAGGTGTCAGATCCGCGGAGCACAGCGTTTATCAGCTGGCCCGCGGCTCGCAATCCCCTTCCCGGGCGAAGGGAAGGGGTAGAGATCGCATGAATAGAGGTAGAACCTCTTAACTCTCCCTGGATTTTTATTTTTAGGGGGGTAGAAAGAGGGTTCCCTCGGAGTTCATTGCCTTCTCCGCCTCTCAGCTGTCTTTGTTTCTTCGGAAACAAAGCGAGACGCCGCTACCATCTCCGTACTTAAAGAAACCGTGAGTAATCTTAAACCGGACAGAACTGTTTAAAGGATTTTATTTATAGTTTAGCTTTATTTTATTTTTTTTAGTTTATTTAGTTTATTTAGTATCTGCTGATTTTTTTTTATTTTTTTGAGCTTTCTCTTTTTTTTTTTTTGGGCGGAAAAGTGAGAGTGAAAGTAAAATGGCGTTTTGAAAGTTTTTTTTTCCTTTAAAAGACGGATCGGCTGAATTGTTGTTTAATATTGCTTTTTTTTTACTTTTTTTACTTTTTTATTCTTGGGGACTTTTAGATTGATCTTATCTTATTCTATTTTATCTTATTTTTAATTTTTTTTTGGATTACTTATTTTTATTGGTATTTTTAAGAAGAAAGGAAGATAAATTAAAATGGCTTCAAAACGACAACCAGCTACTGCAGCTTCTAAAGTAACTTCTTCTCCTGCTACTTCTACTGTGCAACAACAACTTAAAATAATACCCTCAGTGCAGCAACCTAAATCTACTCCACCTTCACCTCCCCCATCTGGCACATCAGCACAAGACATTAAAGAAATAATGGTAAGTGCTGTCTCACAGTTTAGGGAGGAAATGAAACAACTTTTGGATCAGAATAAATCTGAAACTAAGGAGGAAATGAAGAAAGAGATGAAGGAGCTTTTAGAACAGAATAATGCTATTTTGAGGGATGATATACTTCTAGCTCTATCTGGAATGGCCTCAGTGGTTGTGAAGCTGGACTCCAGAGTAGAGGAAATTGAAGAAACAGTTGAACTTTTGGATTATAAATTTCAAGATATGGAGAAAAAAGTGGAGACTTCACAAGATGATATTCTTATGTTCCAGTATAGACAGATGGAATATGCTTTGAGAATAAGGGGTCTGAAAGAAGATAAAATCAAGATTTGATGGAAATGGTGATTAATGACTTGGCTGTTATTTTGAATATTGATAAAGAAGAGTTACGTGGGGATGTGGAAAGAATTTATAGAGTTAATTCTTGGATTGCAAAACAGAGGAATTTGCCTAGAGATGTGGTGATATATTTTGCTAAGAAGTCTTTGCGAAATCAGATTCTACAAACTTTTTATAATAAAAGATTTCAGATTGCTGCCCAAGATATTATTATTTTAAAGGAAATTCCACCTAAAATTTTAAGAAGCAGAAAAGATTTTGCTTTTTTAGTAAATGGATAAAAATGAATAATTTGCATAGACAGAAACAGATTCAGAAACGGAAAGACTTGGAAGAGGAGATTAAATTAAAAGAGAAACTTTTAATTTCAAATCCCTTAGATGAAAAGATTAAAGGAGCTTTAAAATTGTTAAAAACACAATTTAACATGCTGATGGCTGATCAAGCTGCAACTAATTTGCTATTTATGAAACAAAATACATTTTGTAATGCTAATAAACCAGGGAGATGGTTGGCTTATCAGTTAAGAAAAAAACAGAAACAGAGGAATATAGATAAAATAAATTATAATGGTAAATTGGTTTATCAGAAAGAATTGATTAAGAAATCTTTTTTAGAATACTATCAAAAATTATATAAGGGTACTAATATTCAAATTACAGATATAAATAATTATTTAGGCAAAGTTAACTTTCCTAAATTAACAGAAGATCAGGAAAAAAAGATTAACGGTTTAATTACTAAGGAAGAAATTGTTATAGCTATTAAACAATTGAAATTGGGCAAAGCGCCGGGTACGGATGGGTTGACATCTATTTATTATAAAGCTTTAGTAGAAGAGATGATCCAACCGTTGTGTGAACTGTTTAATAATTTATTACAGGGGTTAGAGATCCCTCCATCCTGGCGTAATGCATTTATATCATTGATTCCAAAAGATAGTCAAGATCTTACTTTGCCTAAAAATTATAGGCCTATATCTCTTTTAAATGTGGATTATAAAATTTTTGCAAAAATTTTAGCTAACAGGCTTATGGGGATCTTGCAGCAGTTTATACATAGGGATCAATCGGGTTTTATAACTGGAAGGTATATGAAGAATAACGTTAGACAAATTATTAATTTATTAGAGTATTTAGAAAAGAATAACCAAGTCTCTGCAGGCTTGATATTTTTGGATGCTGAAAAAGCCTTTGATCAAGTGAATTGGCAGTTTATGCTGTGTTTAATCAAGGAGATGAATTTTGGACAAAATATATTACAAGTATTATCCAATATATATCAAAAACAGACTGCTCAAATTATCGTAAATGGGGGTTTGTCAGAGGCTTTTGTAATAGAAAAAGGAACAAGACAGGGATGCCCGTTGTCTCCGTTATTGTTTGTTTTAACACTGGAAATTTTGTTGATTAAAATTCGGGAGTCTCAAGAAATAAAAGGAATAGAAATTAATAAAAAAGAATATAAATTAAGAGCCTTTGCAGATGACTTGGTTGTTACTTTGTCTCAACCTGTTTCTTCGGTGGTGAAATTATTACAATTGATTCAACAATATGGACGTGTTTCTGGCTTTAAAATTAATAATAATAAGACCAAAATATTAGCTAAAAACATGACTAATGGTGATAAACAGGCTCTAGTTAACTTAACAGACTTTGAAATTGTTGATAAGGTAAAATATTTGGGGGTTACATTATCTGCTTCTAATGTAAAATTGTATAAAAATAATTATGAAAAGCTGTGGATGGAGGTACAGAAGGATTTAAAAAACTGGAATAATTTACAGTTATCCCTTATGGGCAGAATTGCAGTTATTAAAATGAATGTCCTGCCAAAGTTTATTTTTTTGTTCCAAATGTTACCTATCTTAAAGAACGAACGTAATTTAGATGAATGGCAAAAAGGTATTAATAAATTTGTTTGGGCAGGGAAAAAACCAAGGGTGAAACTTAAAATAATGCAAGATTTTCGTGAGAGAGGTGGACTCAAGGTACCAAATATGAAATTGTATTATGATGCTGTAGTATTGACATTGATTAGCGATTGGGTGAATTTAACAAATACAGAAATACTTCATTTGGAAGGCTGGGACCTATTTTTTGGATGGCATGCCTATTTAATATTTAATAAAAAAGTGGATTGGGTTTTTAAGTCTCATATTATAAGAAACTCTTTGCTAAGAGTGTGGAGAAAGTATTATAAAAGTGACTTCAAAATACCATTATGGGCTATACCTCGGCATGCCATAGAAGGTATAAGGAAAGGGGTAAATATGGACAAGGTCTCTTATGTACAGTTATTAAGATGGGATGGCCAAGACTGGCAGTTAAAATCTTTGGAAGAATTAACACATGAAAACTTAACTTATTCATGGTTCCAATATAGACAAATAGTGGATAGATGGAAGATGGATTGTAAAATGGGCTGGCTTAGAGAAGATGGAATTTTTTTAAAACAAGTAAGAGATCAAAGGCCAACCCATATTAAGAGAGTTTATGGGGTTTTAGTGGAATTAGATTCAGAACTTGAACTAGTTAAAGATTGTATGATTAAATGGGCACAGAATATTGGTGAAACGATTTCAATGGATACTTGGGAACTTATTTGGATAAGAAATGTTAAATTCACACAAGCGCAAAATTTAAGAGAGAATTTTTATAAGATGTTTTATAGATGGCACCTTGACCCAAAGAAAATGTCCATTATGTACCCTAATCTACAGCCGAAATGCTGGAGATGTGGATATTTGGATGCTACCTATTACCATATTTGGTGGACGTGTAAGCATATAAAAGCTTTTTGGATTAAGATATGGTGGAATATTCAAAAAATTTTTAAAAGAAGGGTAAAATTTACTCCGCAATTATTTTTATTAGGTATTGTTATTGACTGTGATGCTAAGGAGGTTATATTGATGTTAAATTTGATTACAGCCGCTAGGTTGTTAATAGGACAATATTGGAAGAAGGAATCTTTGCCTACTTTACAAGAATGGTTTCATAAAGTTTCGTATTTGGCAGAAATGGCAAAGATTTCGGCTTTCTTAAAGGAGCAATCTCAAGAAAAATTTTTTGCGGTATGGGAAAAATGGATAAATTTTATACAACATAATTTGGATATGGAAAAATATTATTTAGCCTTTTTATAATTTGTAATGATTGTTTTTTCTTTCTTTCTTTCTTCTTTTTCTTTTTTATATATATACATTTTTAATGTATTATTATTCATATATTTTTTTTTTTATATATATATATGCTTTATTTTTCGTCTACTTTCTTCTTTCTTCTTTCTCTCTCTCTCTTCTCTTTTTATTTTTTATTTTTTTTCTTTTTTAGTATATATTATTCATTTTAAAGTTTATGTTATGTATATTATTTCTATATATATTATTACTGTGATTTTTATTATTATTATTAATTATTTTATAAATTGCAAATGTTATTTTTAAAATATTTGTTAAATAATCCTATATTCAGTTCTGGGAAGTCGGGGGGGGGTGGGGTGGTTGGGGAGGGGGGGGTGGATTTTTATTTGTAAAACTTTTGAAAAATTTTAATAAAAAAAAAAAAAAAAAAAAAAAGATCTGAAAGAAAAGTTACAAGAACTGGATATGCTTTATCTATCACAAATGTATTAAAAACATGTTTAATTTGATGTCAGGTGGCCTTGAATATTTGCCTATGTTTTAGATTTATACCTTTTTTTTTCTTTCAGAAACTTGAGGTGCCATATAAAACAGTCTCCTTCAATTTTTCCAAAACAACAGCCATGTTCCACTTTTGAGATGATTAGGAGCAATTCTTTGTTCCTGTCCGCACAACCAGATCCTGTCTCTCCTCATCCCTTGTTCATCTGACTTACCCTTGCAGGTCAGCAATATGTGGTTTGAGGGGGCTTGATCAGTTTAACCAGCAGCCATTTTTCTATTCCTGTCAACTGAAAGAAATGAAGAAAGCCTTAAAAAGCTTTTTTCCCCATGTTTCCCGAGGCATTGCTTCCCTGAGAAAGTTATTTTTCTTTTAAAGTCATGACTGATCAGGGTTGGCATCAGTCAGCTTTTAAAGGGACCCCCCCATCCCTATTCATTTGCTCATTTCCCATGAGGCCAAAGTGGACAGGAACTGAAAAGGCCCTAACAATTAGATGCCTTGGACTTTATCTCAGTTTTAGATGCTAAAAAGAATATACAACTTTATCTGATATATCTGGTATACAGGATGCATGATCTGGATTGAGTTAGTTTAACTACACAGAGTTAATTCCACTAAATCCTTTGGGGGCTAATTCTAATCTCTTCAAGGTTAATTTACCAGATCAGTTAGCTCAATTTTAGAAATTATACTACACATTTCTATCCCTTCATGTCACCCAGTTAAAGGTATGGTGAAGAAACTGATCTCTGAGATCATAGGGGTAATCCTTGATTAACGACTACCCTGCTTAGTGATTGTTCAAAAAGCCCTGAAAATGTAGTTTTACAACTGGTCCTCAGACCTATGACTGTTATACTGGTCACATGATTGCATTTGCAACCTTCACAGCCAGCTTCCAATAAGCAAAATCAATGGGGAAATGGTCACATGATCTCATGTTTAATGATCACAGGTGATTTCCTAAATAACAACAGAGAAACTGACCTCATAGGTTTGCTGTGGTGGGTTTGCCAGTCCCAACTGTGGTCTTTAAGTGAGGACTACCTACAATGTGTTAGGCGGTAATTGGTGGTCCTTTGATGTAAACCAGGGATTTTCAAACTTGGCTTTTTTATGACTTGTGGACTTCAACTCCCAGAATTCCTCAGCCAGCATGCCTGGCTGAGTAATCCTGGGAGTTGAAGTCTACAAGTCATAAAAAAGCCAAGTTTGAAGACCCCTGATATAAACACTTAAGAAAAGGCTGGTTAGCCATTGGGGATGCTGAAATGGTGAGCAAAATCCTCTTTTTCTGGTGCTATTGTCTATTGCTAATCTAATTCTATGGTCCTGTGATCATTCTTACTTCAAAGATCTTGCATAGATGTAGAGCAGGGGTCCTCAAACTTAGCCCTTTTATGACTTGTGGACTTGGCCTGGCGTGCCTGGCTGAGGAATTCTGGGAGTTGAAGTCCACAAGTCATAAAAGGGCCAAGTTTGAAGACCCCTGATGTAGAGAAACGCAAGAAAAAAGGGAAGAAGGGAGAAGAAATGAGAAGGGAATTGGAGATGAGCACATATGTGCTTAAACATCATTTCATTCCTGGCGTCTTCTGATGCACTTGATTAATTGGGCCACTAATAAATTGATTAGACATTTCAGCTGAAATAGGAATCCAATAAACAAAGACATCCCTTTGAATAATCATAGCAGATGATTAACGATCAAGATCTTCAACTGATTGATTTCAATGGCAGAAGTAAACATATGTGGTGTTAAGTGCTGTTAATTAACCTTCTCTAACTTTGTGTCTTCCAGAAGTGTTGGGCTGCACAGTTTCCTGACCCAGATTGAAGACATTAAGCCACACAGTGCCCTTCTGCCTCAAAATAATAAGTTGTTCTCTGTAATTTAATAATGGAAATGTATCTCCATCTTTCTTTGCAATCTCTAATTAGTCCAGTATTCAGATTTGTTTAGTTTCACTTTGGCACTTTTTGAAGCCAGCTCATTACCTTATGATTGCTCCTGCCTACCACGGACCATGTGTCTAATTCTAAATTAGTTTAATCTCATCTGTTTGATTACGGAGAGATTAATCTCATCTGTTTGATTATTGAAAGGAGCAGAAAGGCAAACAGCAGTGGCTCTTGTTGATTCTAAGGAAATGAGACAAAACAGGACGAAAACATTTCAAAAACATCATATGGAAATAAATGGCAGAGATTCAAGATTGGTATAGGCTCAGTGGTGGTATTCAGCCAGTTCGCACTAGTTCAGCAGAACCAGTAGCTAATGTTTTGTTGCCTAGGCCCAGAATGGACTTCCAGAAGTGGCATCCATACAGAGAACCAGTTGTTCACATATTTGAATCCCACCACTATATAGGCTGCATTAACAGAGGGACAGAATCAAGATAGTGAAGTATTAGTACTGCTTTATAAGGCCTTAGTAAGATCACACTTGAAAACTGTATCCAGTTTTGGTCGCCACAATATAAAAAAGATGTTGAGACTCTGGAAAGAATGCAGAGAAGAAAACACAACATGTGCTCTACAAACACACTCAGTCCAGTCTTGGGAACAGAAAAGATGGTCAGTTATGACAGAAAGATCTGTCTGAAAAAAACAATTGATACATTTGGGCGAACCCTGAAGATTCCTCTGAACAGACTTTCAAAACCCACCTCTTGAGATGAACAGTAGCTAATTGTGGGAAATATTTTAATAGGCATTTATAGACCTTATGTTTAGACTTCACAGATATTGTTCAAAGCTCTTGTTGCCTTTGTGCTGAGCACTTTCTATAGCTCCTCTTGTTTGAAAAAAAATATCACCTTCTTTTTCCGCTACCACCAGATGGGATAACTGATTCACCTTCACTGGTCCGTTACTACTTTGCATTTTCCAAATAGATGACATTCAGCATCTGCATATCAATGATGCTCACCATCTTTTCTAGTAAAATGTCCTGTCAGCATCTTAGCAACATAATAACCTGACATTAAGCACGTTTTCAAAGTCTCTCACACCAAAGGGCAATGCAGGACAAATAAAAAACTTTCTCTTGGGATTAAAAAAAAAAGTAGAGTCCTAAAGGGAAGAATAGCAGGAAGGTAACTGGACCATGATGTCCAAATCTATGAATGTCAATCAATCAATCAGAATATAGCTGGAAGGGACCTTGGAGGTCTTCTTCTACCCTTTCAGATAGGTGGCTGTCCAGTCTTTTCTTAAAAACCTCCAGGGATGGAGCACCCACAACTTCAGGAGGCAAGCTGTTCCACTGGTTAGTTGTCCTCACTATTAGGAAGTTTCTCTTTAGTTCTAGGTTGCTTCTCTCCCTGATTAGTTTCTATTCATTGTTTCTTCTCCTGCCTTCTGCTGCTCTGGGAAATAAGTTGACCCCCTCCTCTTTGTGGCGGCTCCTCAACATAATAGCACCCATACCGCTATTGTGTGAGAAAGCTTTATCAGATTTCCAAATCAGACTGTTCTGTCTTTGTCTGATGCAGATAACTTTGTTTTTAAATTATTTTAACACTAAACAGGGGAAGTTGGAAACTTACAAATCTGCAAGAAAAGGAAAAGAATAGCAGATGATTGTAAGCAGTGGCCACCTGTGCGATAGAATAGCACACACTGGAAATTAAAGTAAAGGTAAAAGTTTCCCTTTCAGTTATTTCTGTCTCTAGGTCAGTGGTTTTCAACCTTTCTAATGCCGCGACCCCATAATACAGTTCCCCATGTTGTGGTGACCCCCAACCACTTATACATCACCGGGTGCCAGGGGCGTGGCCAAAGAAAAGGGGGAAAAATGGCAGACAGCCTTGTTTGGCGACCCCCGTGAAATGGTCGTTTGACCCCAAATGGGGTCCCGACCCACAGGTTGAGAACCACTGCTCTAGGTGGTGGTGGTGCTCATCTCCGTTTCTTGACTGAATGAACCAGTGTTGTCTGAAGACATTTCTGTAGTCATGTGGCCATCATGGCTATATGCACAGAACACTGTTACTTTACCACCAAATTGGTACCAATTTATCTACTCACATTTGCATGCTTTCAAACTGCTAGGTGGGCAGGAGCTGGAGCAAGGACCGGAGCTCACCCCGTCATGTGGCACTCGGGTCTCAAACCCAGCCTATCAGCTTTTCAGCTGACAAGCTCAGCATTTTTAATCTCTGAGCCATCATGCCCCCAACATTGAAAATTACAGATCCCTAATAATTGGTAAGTTCTTCCCAGATGCACTTTATGAGCTGAATCATGGTGCTCTGCAAGTATCCATATTTGAGAGCAAACCCCCATTTTTTTTACAACCAAACCCTAAAATTTTCCAGAAAAATCTATGCCTTGTCAAATAACTCAGTCCTAGTGTATTCAGTAATACTCCTGCAGCTAAAATCTTCCTCACAAATGAAGGCAAATATACATATCCCAGGATATATTTGCAGGATCCAATCTGGGTCAGTCCCCAGGACCAGAGGTTTAGTCTTCCAAGCTTTCGGATTTGTGCTGGAGCCCACACATTCTGGTGAGAGAGAGGTTCCATGGCTTCAGCACAAGTCTGAAAGTTCAGAAGACTAAACCTCTGGTCCCGGTGACCAACCCAGATTGAATCCTAAAATCTTCCTCCCTTCTAGTTTACTCCATCAAAGAAGTTTGTGGGAATGCAAATAAAGGAAGTACACAAGTAGTCCTCAACTTGAGCCTGGAATCATAGTCAAAGGTCCTAACAGTCCTTAAGTGGGTCACCAAAGGACTGCACCTGATTTTACATTCTTATTTTGTGGCAAATGCCACAGTCATTAAATGAACTCATTCTGGTTTTTGCTGGAAATTAGAAGTAAAGTTCAAATCCAGGTTGTTGATCACTTTTTTTGGGGGGGGGGAGGGTGCTGAAAACAAATGGTTTCCCTACACTTAGAGAGTAGGATTTGGCCTACTTTTACTAAATTTTGTGCCTGTGCCTATCTCAGTCATCCATCTTGCATTAAGAATGTTGGAGATGAAGGTGGAGGTGGAGATGGAGGAGGAGGGGGAGGGGGAAGAGGAGGAAGGCAAGGAGGAGGAGGAGGAGGAGGTATCTGCAAATGTTCTGCTTTAGGCCAAAACTGACTTTGAGAAAAGAAAGGCATCTGAATATATTGTTTCAGCTCTGGAAACTAAATTGACTGCATGAGGTAAACAGCCAGTAATGACTGGAGGTAATGGTTTCAGTTCAGTGTACAGTGGTCTTAAATAGAATGGTGCTCTGGCTAAATTTCCACGAATCAAATTGGACAGTTATTGAACACTTCCTTGTTAATCAGAAGCAGGCATGCATCTGTATTTCAGAATTACTGGAAACAACAAATTCTAATGTTTAATTCCCTCAGGCTTCCTTGTTTCTATTCTACACTGAGGGAAACGGGAGAACCATGAAACCATTTTTGTTCGTAAGCGTATAGTACTGTACATGGCTATCAACCACTTTCTATTTCTTAATGGAACTCTTTTGATAAGCCAAATTGGAGATCCGGCCTTGGATAGTCCAAAGCATCTAACATTCACTTCTACTCAATATGATTCTGGAGCTGGGTTTTCATCCATATAGCTAAGCCATTCTGTAACTGTTTGGTTTTGGCTTTGCTGGAATCAAGGCTCTGTAATTTGGAAACCACTACTAATTATTTTTTTTGCAGAAGGGTCTAAGATGAAGTCCCAGGGGAGCCCTTTGGTTTTTGTCAAAATGTCAAAGGCAGAGCAATACAGGTAGTCCTTACTTGCCAGCTGCAATTAGTACCAACAACTCCTTCACTAAGCCACACAGTCATAAAATGAAAACTCAGGTGACCACACTTGACTTAAAACAGAAGTTCTAGCTATGGTCATTACCGTAGTAAATTACCAGTGGTCTTTCAGTTCAATGTCATGTGACCGTGACTTGCGACTTCCTGCCGTCTTCCTCAGTGACTTTGCTTGTTGGAAGCTGGCTGTGAAGGTCACAAACGACAACCACATAACCAGACGGAACATACTGGCTGTTGAGTGCTACCAATGAAAAGCTCAGTTATACCCTTCACGAATGGTGACTTGATCAAACCAGCTTAGCTCTCCTTGAAATATTATTCTCTACCTTCAGCCAGAGATATCAGAAACCTGGTATTTTTGTAGCTGTATCCTGGGGGTTGGTGCATTTTGTATAATTATTACCACATATGTTCTCATCATACCTGCCTTGTTTTGCCTGGTAGGAGATGGTTGCTCCAGCTGTTTGCAACCAGCCCCCATGGAGTCAGTAAGCAGAGCAGATTGGCTGCTATTCAAAGGTTTTATTTAATGTTATAACTAGTTCCTCGGATGTGATAATTGCAAACTGCAGCATCTTTCTCATTTGTGCCATCTATCATTTGTGTTTGTTCAGTTATGGAAGAAGCAGGAAATAGTTGCAGCTTACTTGGCTGTTCCTAATACAGACATCACCACCCCTTTCCCATAATCAGACACACACACCTCAATTCAGATCAAATAAAGAATCTGAGATCTTAAATCAGCTTGTTATAGGAAATTCAGTTTTCTTCGCATATTTTTGATGTCAGGTCTATAACAACAGTTGTTCACTGTATGATTAGCTCTCTGATAATAGAATTGGACAACCAATGATTGGAAGCTGAATGTTTTCTGTAAAACTTTCATGGATGATTTGCAGAGTTTGGTAGCTTAAATTGATTGCTCAGAATTTGCTTTGAAAAATGGATACTGAACTTGCAGGAAAAAGAAGAGGTGGAAAGAGAAAGGGAAAAGGGAAAGGAGATGTTTTTATAAGTAAAAATCTCCTCCTGGCTTTTCCCGTCTTCTTATCTAGGTTTATATGTTGCTTTCAAAACTTCTTGTTCTTGTGTTTTTAAATGTGGAGCTGTTCTATTTAATTTGAAAGAAAATGATTGAAAAAATGATTATGTGCCATGAAGTCAGTGTTGACTCTTAGTGACCATGTAGATCAGTGGTTCTCAACCTTTTTAATGCTGCGACCCCCAACCGGTCGTAAGTCGAGGACTACTCAACCGGTCATAAGTCGAGGACTACTCAACTGGTGCAGCACCGTTTGCAGAATGGGACTTTTGGCAGGCTCAGCAGGGCAGAGAATAGCCTGGACA